TTGTGCACAGAATTTTTAATTTTTTGGCAACAAATTTTTTATTTTTTTGGCGCAGAATTCCCCTCGGAGTAACGTACTCTGAAAGGTCAATGTTTAGGCCCAGAGATCTCTACAATAGTATGAGGTGCTCTGTCAGTACTATTGAGCACTGTCTGTTAGGAGCTTAGATACCAGTGATAAGCACAGTATAAATACCTAGACAGCAATGTTTGTAACCTTTGGAAGACATTTTTATTTTTCTAGTTATCCATGCTATTTTTTTGTTCCAGACCACTTCTAAGAAAGTTAGTGTTATATCTGATAGTTTACAGTATATATGAGATTTGTGTCTGTTATTCCGGCTTATTTGTTTTCTTTTCACTTCAGAGTGGCAGATTTAAATATGAAAAAGATATAAAGGGTTTATTTGACAGGAATGCAATAGGGGAGAAAAAGGAACAACTATATAAATGCGATCTATTTGTATTTCATTTATCATTAGGAATTCAATTAAAAGGAAATACCTTGGTTGTGTTTTTTTGGTGTGTTTTTTTTTTTTTAAGGGTATTTAATGCACCAAAACTGTGTGGTATGATTGTGGCTTATTGATTATAGTAACTGGAGGTTGCTAATAACCATGTCGCTTAGAGATATTATTGATTGTTAACTTTTCTCTTGTCTTTCAGAGCTAATGAAGGCGCAGGGAATTTTAAGGTATGGATGTGACTTGAATTTATTTTCCTATACATTTCATTTGGGAAATTTGTATAACTTTAATCCTAATTTAATTTAGCTCATCCGGGTTTGCCTTGCACTAGAAGTACACCTGGACACACAATCTGGAGTTTACCCAGTGGAGTATAAAGTGATATTGGGCTACATTGTACTTTAAAATCCATCATTGCATAATGTCACAGGGTGTGGCAAGAAGAGAGACTACAAAGGCAGGAAAATAATATTTTAGTATGGGAGAATGGAACATAATAAAACTGACTAGTCTTGCTTGTTGCTTCAGGCTCTGTCTCTGGGGGACGAGTGCCCTCATTGTCTGTGCCTTTAGTTGGAATTCTGCCCAAGGGAGTAGTCGTGCCCAGAATGTTGCATTTTTTGGGGGGTTTGTTTTGCTTTTAAATCTCTGATTTGTTCTGGAAGAGGTAGTTTATAATGTGTGTTTGTGTACTTATCAACCAAGAGGTAGTAGTCTTGAATTCTAATGTATAACCGCAGGAGGAAGATGGAAGGCACAAAAAAAATACTTGTGCATATTTGCTAGGCAGCTAAATAGACTTCCCTGGTCAGTTGCTAGTTCACTCTCACCTTGATCTCTCTGTTAAAGACATTCATCTCTTCTGTGAATGGAGGTTACTAAATTGGAAAAGAAATACAGCTCTGCAGTATTGCAATGTAGAGTGAACGAAAACTTGTTCCTACTGTGCCAAATCAGTGTAGTGTCACGATGTGAAACTGCCCATCTCTTGCTGCCTTCTCCATAATTTGGCAGGCTGTAATTAAGGATGTGCAAAGTGTATAATTTCAGTATGTGAATAAATACCTTGGAAACAGGCTCTATTCAAGACAAGCAATAGATAAAACTTTATATTATGTAGTCACATATTACATTTTACCTTTTATGGCAGCAGGATGTTAGGAATAAAAGGCTGTGGAACAACACAGAGTAGCAGATTGTAAAAGAGAAATTAAACATGGGTACGTTTAGCATTGAGATATGCAATCTTAATATTTAAGAATGGGAGCAAACAGCATTTTACTAACATATTACATATAAATTGTCTTAATTCTTTCCCATCCTTTCTCCTTTGCCTCATCTTTATTTTTAGCTGGGTTGATTCCTGTCCAGACTGCAGGCACAAATCTGAATAGGTGCAACGCAGGTGCAACTACTCACCTTTGTTATGATTTATTAATCATTATGATAGAGCTTAATCACCAACGGAGAACAGGGCCCCACTGTGCTGGGCACTCTACCAACACTGAAATGAGATTGTCCCTGTCCCAAAGAGCTTAGCTGAGCCTACAATTGAATTGTGAATGTAGATTTTGTGAATGAGAAAGTAATCGGCAGAGAGAAGGCTGCCTTCCTGAAAACATCTCCAGCCAAGTTGCTTTCTCTACATTGTTCTCTCCGCCTCAGGTGGTTTTTCTCCTCCTTTTTTGTCTCCTGCATTGTTTCTGCCCCTTACCTCTGTTTCACCCTCATTCTCTTTGCCTTCGATTGATCCCATCTCCCCATCAATTCTTTGCTCAGCCTTCTGGATTTGAAGAGGTGTACATGGTTTCACGGTAGATGTAACATTAGCTTACACATTTAGTTTAAAGCAATTCAGCCATTTTAATGGCACAGAAAAAAAATCTCCAGTACTGAAAAATGTCCATATGAGATGTATATTTGTTCCCTATAATAAAAACATTTGTAAGGGGCACTAAAAAGTCTAAAACATTAGAGGGAAATAAAAAACATTTACTGAGGCTGATGTGCATGCACAGTGAGCACCTTCCATAAGGAGTTTCCCCTCATTTTCATTCTATGTTTCTAAGCTATGCAGATGGCACCTCTTAGTTGATATAATGGCTTCAGAGGAAGCTGTTCAGCTGTAGGCACTGAATACAGATTAACTCCCACTAGAGTTAAATGCATTTTATATTATTAATACATATCAACAACATACATTACTTAGGTATTCAGAGATTATGCAAACCTCAGCTACGTCTGTCACTTAACCTCCTGATGTGTAGTTTCAGAGCCAAATAGTTATGTCAGTGTCATGATTTTTCCCTTTGGGGACAGTACAGTTTGTATTTCTTTAGTATTGAAATTGGGGGTGGGAAATTAGGAGTCAAATCAAATTTGACCCAAAGGTTAGGTTTCATGAAACATTATCTTACAACACCTGAACTGGTCCATGAGAACTTGTTTGAGCTGAGAGAAACTGCAAAAATAAATTGCATAGGCAATAATAGGTTTTGATTTTTAAAACACTTTCTGTTTTAATAATCTAAGGTGGTGTTTGTGACATAGGTAAGGAAATTGATTTTTTTTTTTTTTTTGTAATCTGATCCGACCCCTTTTTAAGCCATAAATACGGGGTTCCAGTAACTTTCTGACTGAAACTCAGCTTTAATTCAGAAGTCTTCTACAAACACTGAGTTCCAGGTTCTGCCAGCTTTTATTCACCGTGCGCTGTATTTCACAAGTAGTCCCACTGGTTCCAGTTGGACTGTTAACAGACTAAGATACTAACCTGGATGAAGGTGGCAGAATTGGGCCCTGAATGATCTCAAAGAATCACCTTCAACTCCCTTGAATACCTTTACTGGTTGTTTTTCTACATCACTTTCCACTTCCTTGCTATGTCATTAATAGGCCCCCATTTACTTCTCTGCTTTCGTTTCCTCCTCTTCCCTCCCCCACCCCCATGCTCTTATTCCGCTCCCCGCACTACCTCCTTTCTCACTCTTGGCTTCATGCTTTTCTGCTTCTTCCAGCCAAGCTAAATCTCCATGTTCAAATCTCTCCTTCAGACCCATTTTTTATGAAATCTCTCTACCTGGATTCCCTATCAGCATTGTCCCCTAATCACCTTCCTGCTGCATTATTCTCCTGTATATCTGAGTTAGATTGTGAGCTCCACCAGGCAGGGGACTTTTTTTAACATGTTTTGTTTGTTCTATAAACAATGCTCCCATTCGTACTGTACACCAAGCTACAATAGCATGGGCCAGCAAAGAAGTTCTGACTCGGTTTCTGACTTCTAGGCGTTGTTGTTTGAACATGCTAGCTATATTATTACAGGTGGAATAAATATTTGTGTCTGTGACTTAAGTCAGAGTAGCTTGGCCCTTCCTGTTCATTGTACTCTTTGTATTGGGAATATGGCTTGGCTAGTAAATCACAGCCGTCCATAATTTAATGTAAAAAATCCAATTAATTAGGACAAAGGGAAATCCATTTATCATGCTGAGCGCTGCAGTCTGTTCTGTCTTTGTGTCTCTTCTTTGTACCCACCCAAATCATCAGGCAGCTGTTTAGCATTTTATCTGTGGGGAAAAAATCCTTTAAAAAAAAAAAAAAAAAATCTTGAAGAATGGCATAATAAACGTCATGTTGTTACAGTCCTCCCCATGGAAATACTTGGAAATGACAGTAAAAGCCTCCCAACCAGTCTAGCCATTGTATTCCCCGCTGTGACACATTATGTTGAAAATGATTCTGGGATTCAGAAAGTGCTAATCTAGCCACAGCAGAACTGAAACATCACTTATAAGAGGCTAAAAAAAAAAAAAATTAGGCTGTGTGGGCTGGGAAATACCAGAGGGTTTTATTTTCTCAGTGTAGCTCTGAAGTGTGTCCTGAGCTCATTGGCATGACCCCCATTTTTTAAAACTTCCTCTTGTGCCAGTGGCAGGCAACTCCTTTGCTCATAGATTAAAAGAGGTATTTAATATACTGCATGATAGCAATTTAATGTCTGTGCTGTAGAAAATTATGTACAGCATCTGTGCTGCCTGGTAGTTAAAAAGGAAATTGGCACGCAAACTTGGAACTCCGTCTTGCTCTCGTTGACGTCCGTGTGGGTTTTTGCCATTGATTTAGATAGGAGCAGGATTGGACCCCGGGAATCTATTTATTAATTTGTGTATAGTGCCTTTCATCCCAAAGTGATCTAGAAACAGGGCAGAGAGGAACTCAGTCCAAGGTTAGGGGTCTGTTAATGGAGTGGATGGGTGAGGTTCTGTGGCCTGCAATGTGCAGGAGGTCAGACTACGTGATCATGATGGTCCCTTCTGGCCTAAAAGTCTGAGTCTAATTCAGCCATCCTCAGCTGTAGTGTGTGGGGCCTTTGAGCAGGGGCTGGAGGAATCTTCTGTAGAGAACCCTGGGTGGGAACACTCAGCATTTTTAAGTCGCTTACCATCTGCTCTTTCTGCAGCCATTGGAAAAGAAGTTTGTGCGAGTTTCAGGAGAAGCAACCATCGGCCATGTGGAAAAATTCCTGCGAAGAAAAATGGATCTCGACCCGGCTTGTCAGGTCGGTTACAAGAGAGGCATTCAGCCCACGTTAGGGTCAAGACTTTTTTTTCTTAATATTTCAAGTGAGTGATGTATTCCACGGCTGCTGGTTCACCCTGATCATTGCAGTACGTGTCCGGCAAACACGGCTGGCGCGTAGGGTATGTCTACGCTGCATCTGGAAGTGAGCCTCCCAGCCTGGGTCTACAGTCTTTTGTTAGCGGGGCTCTCACTAGCATGCTAAAAATAACTGTGTAGACATTGCCTCTTAGGCTGACGCTTTGGCTCTCAAGCCTGCGCAACATCAAAGCAACGTCAATACAGCTGTTTGTTAGCGCGCTAGTGCAAGCCTCTCTAATGCAAATCTGTCAACCCAGGCTGAGAGGCTTGCTGTCAGATACTGTGTAGACTAGTGGTCACCAAACCTGGGGACTCTCCCAGTCGATCGCGATCTCCAGGTGCGGTGGCGCAGCAGAGCTGCCTGCTGCTAAGACAGGCTCCCTGCCTGCCACGGCCCCATGCTGCTCCCGGAAGTGGCCAGCGCGGCCCCAGGATGGGGCGGGAGCAGGGGTCTCTGCGTGCTGCTTCTGCCTGCAAGCACTGCCCCTGTAGCTCCCATTGGCCGGCAACGGGGAACTGTGGCCAATGGGAGCTTTGGGGGCAGTGCCTGCAGAGAGGGGCAGCGCACAGAGCCACGTGCCCCCTGCCCTGAGGGGCGTGTAAGCCCCTTCCAGGAGCGGCGTGGGGCCCCAGCAGGCGCCGACCAAGGTAAGTGCCGCCCGGCAGGAGGCTGTACCCCAGCCCTGAGCCCCCTCCTGCACCCCAACCCCCTGCCTCAGGCTCAACCCAGAGCCCCCTCCCACACTGCAAACCCCTCAGCCCCAGCCCAGAGCCTGCACCCCCTCCCGAACCCCAACCCCCTGCCCCAGCCCAGTGAAAGTGAGTGAGGGTCGGAGAGAGCAAGTGACGGAGAGAGGGGGGCATGGAGTGAGCAGGGCAGGGCTTTGGGGAAGGGGCGGGGCCTCGGGGAAGGGGCGGGGTAGATACGGGGTTGCCCTTAAATTCAAAAAGTGATCTTAAGCGTCAAAAGTTTGGAGACCACTGGTGTAGACATGCCCTTAGAGGCCAGAGGCAGAGCCATAGTATTCATCTAATCCAGTAAGCAAACCCCTAAAAGCTGTGATTCAGTACCAGGGGATCATACAAGATTTAACTGTCCCCACTCAGTGGCAGCGTTTTTTAAATTTTCTGATTATATTCCCACTTGAATTATACATGGTGCTTGACCGTAGGTGGAGTACATTCAATAAAAGCCCAACGGCATTGCAAACAAAAGGCACAGAGGGAGGTAGAAGGGACCGTAGGAGGATATGAGAGCAGAGATACAGGCAGGAGTCGGATTTAGGTGAACACAGCAAGGCTGAACTGAATGTTGAAGGAGGTTCAAGAAGATTAGAGGGTGATGAGGGAAGATGGTGATTTTGGAGGGGTGGGGTGGAATAAAAGATATTGTGTCTGTAATAGAGGAACACTCAAAAGTGGTGCACAAGGATTTAAACACCCAGTTCTCATTGATTTCAGTGAGACTCACACAGCTAAAACCCCATGCAACTTTTAGGAAATGATTCCAGCTACTGTTCAGCTGAGAAGGCTGAGGAGTTACATAATGCATAAATGATCCATCCAGCTGATGACAGGTAACTGGAAAATCCAGCTGCTGTTGACGAGAATAGGCAAATAGCAGAAATTAAGTGATGGTCTTGGAGTTCTGTTTGTTTGTCTCAGATATCTGTTTTTCCCCTTTTTAAGGCAATAAAGCGTGACTGTTTTTCCCAGCACTGAGTCTTTATTCACGCTGCTTGCTGTCCCGTGGTGACAGTGCAAATTGGATATAAATTATTCATCATCCTGCAGAAACAACCTAGTTACATTTACTGGTTTCCTCTCGGTAAGAATGTATGTAGCTTCCCATTATAGATAGTGCTCTTTGGGAATCCTAAGTAAATAACATTTTTCTTAGATGCGAAGTCAGAGAGAAGCCACAATTCAATTCAGAAATGGATGGTACTTTTTTTTTTATTTTTTGTTATTTATTTTAAAAGGTATCATATTTGGGTCCCAATATTCTGAAGTGCTGGGCACCCACAGCTCCAATGGAAGATGCGGGTGCTCAGCTTTGAAAATCAGGCCGCTGCTGTTTTACAGACTTGTTTCTAATTCTGCCAATCTAAAATTCTTCTTTTAGAGTTTAATATGTTGTTTTTCCATTTCCTGTCTCCAAAACTGTGTTCTAACTGTGTTATCCGTTGTAAAATAGATGCCGTGTTTCACCCCAGAGTTAGTGGAATTTCCCTAGTGAATACGCTGATTTCTGTATACAGTGTGAGCTAACTGTTTATCAACTGGACTCCTACAGCCGCTGTGCAATAACTAAAGCACTTGAAAGGGCTGACAAAAAACATCTTTGCGTGGTGTGCCACGGAGTCTGCTAGCTGTGTGAGCTATTTGAGTGCCTAACATTTGTTTGTCCGTATGCCTGCTGCTCTAGCATTAACTGATTGCTTTGGGATATCTAGGGTTGTGTTACCTCATTGTCTGAGAACCCGTATCAAACACAGCTTCCCACTTTAACTCCGGTGGGTCAGTAGAGATGAATGCTTATTTCTAATGAAGTGTGCTCAGCACTTATTATAATGGTCTGAGATGAGTTAGAATGGCCAAACTCTCTTGAAATATGAGTTGAACTGGGTTGGCCCTGTTCACACAGACAGGACAACAGAGTTCAACATCATTTGAAGCATGGCACTACAGGGAGCTGATGCTGATACCCATTCTCAGACAGTGCTAAAATTGTGTGTGCCTAAGTGTGAAAGATACGCTGTGAAATCAGATTCTATCCTTGGTCATCCACCTTTAGTAATGTAAACAACTTCCCCATCCTGCTATCAGGAGCAAGAGGGATGTGTTCATTCTGTTCTCCTGTAAGGAAGCCAGAGACTTAACGTTTTATGCAGCCAACTGTCAATTAATGTTGACGAGTGCATTGTAAGAGCTTTGAAAGTCTTCTTATGCTGCTCTCCTGCTGTGAAAATGTAGGATGATTGCACTGTTTGCTTACTGGCATGGTGACCCCTGGATCTTTGAAATGACAGTCTGGCTATAGGAATATTTTCTTCTAAGAGCAGCCAAAAAACACCTTGCCAAGGGATTTAGAAAAAAATCTATATAGGGGTATAACGAGCTAAACAGCACAATGGCCAGTTTTTCCATACTGTGAGGGGCAGGTGCGTTGCTCTGGCTCTAACTCAAGCCTCTTTGCACTGTGGAAGCGTTACTTGTGTTTCATTGAAGGGCTTGTCGTTCTCTGAGCGTTTTAGTGTACAGTAACGCCTCGCTTAATGTTGTAGTCATGTTCCTGAAAAATGCTACTTTAAGCAAAACGATGTTAAGCAAATCCAATTTCCCCATACGAATTAATGTAAATCGATGGGGTTAGGTTCCAGGGAAATTTTTTTCGCCAGACAAAAGACTATATTTTGTGTGTGTGTGTGTATACACATATACATAGTATAAGTTTTAAACAAACAATGTGATACTGCACATAGCAATGATGATTGTGAAGCTTGGTTGAGGAGGTGAAGTCAGAGGGTGGAAGAGGGTGGGATATTTCCCAGGGAATGCCTAACTGCTAAATGATGAACTAGCACTCGGCTAAGCACTCAAGGGTTAACAATTGTTGTTAATGTAGCCTCACACTCTACAAGGCAGCAGGAATGGAGGGAGGAGACACCGCATGGCAGAAAGAGACACACACCGTGTGTGTGTGTGCGCGCGTGAGAGAGGGAGGGAGGGAGGGAGAGACAGACACACACCGTGTGTGAGAGACGCAAGCATTGCCCCTTTAAGTACTCTGACCCCACTCTAAGTACACTGCCTTTTTAAGTAGATCAGCAAGTTGAGACAGCAGCTGCTGCCAGCAAGCTCCCTCCATCCTGAGCCTTGTCGTGTGTCCCGTCCCCCCCGCCCCCGCTCTGTGGAGAGCGGGGAGCAGGGGGAGGGGGACACACTGACATTAAAACCCCTTCCCCCACACAGCAAGCAGGAGGCTCCCAGGAGCAGCTCCAAGGCAGAGTGCAGGAGCAGCACATGGCAGTGTGGGGAGGGACAGCTGAACTGCCCGGCAATTGATAGCCTGCTGGGCCGGCTGCCGCACAGGGAACTTAGGGGAGCTGCTGGGGAGCTGCTGGTCCACCCTGGTTCCAAGCCCCCACCAGCTAGCTCCAACGGGCTGCTCTTTCTGCAAGCAGTGGACAAAGCAGGCGGCTGCCAAACAACGTTATAAGGGAGCATTGCACAACTTTAAACGAGCATGTTCTCTAATTGATGAGCAACGAAACAATGTTAACTGGACAACGTTAAGTGAGGAGTTACTGTATTTGTTTCTGCCGTTCTGTTCCGATACACGTGAGGAAAATACCACGTGTTCACTGCTCACGACTGTAATCTCTTGCATTCAAATATTTGCCTACATTTACTTGAGATGCTGCCATGTATCCAACATATTGTAACTGCAATATAATGAAGTGGTGTGGCTATGCACTTGTTCATTTAGTCCCTCCTTGCTGTTCTATGGATCCTTCAGTAAGGGCAGCTGCAGTAACCATCTGACCGGCAGAAATTTGTACCAGGGACGATACCTTATGACTTTGTAGCCTTGGGCTTAGGAGTCTCTGGGAACCTTAATTTGGTGTCATTTTATGGAAACTCACTAAGCTGTCACTACAGCAACATGATGTTCTTGCTTTTGTCTTAATGAATTATATTCACAGGGTTGTGGGGTTTTCTGTTGTTTTTTTTAAGTGCTGGTGATGTGACTTTTTTTTAAGTAATTCTTCTCTTTCAGAGCACAAACACCGCTTCACTTAGAAAAGTAATTAAACAAAATCAGAAATTAAAAAATTAATTCATTAATGGAGATATCCTATCTCCTAGAGCTGGAAGGGACCTGGAAAGGTCATC